AATAGGGTGAATACATCTCATTACAATGATTTACTGGTAGTCTCGAAACCCTACTTTCTTACGAATATGTGAAATCAAATGGAAACATCAGCTCAACTTATATCATTGTGGGAAAATTCTACTACCAGTCCTTCATCACCTTAGACTAAATAGGGTGAATACATCTCAAATAAATGCATTAAATCTTCTTGCTTTTTGTAACCTTAATCTTCTGAAATTCCTTATTGTCTTCTGGGAATTTGACGTACTATTCATTTCATTTATACATGCGAGTTGAAGAGATTCGTAAATTGGCCTCACTACAAGCAATTACCTATTACCTTCGAGTTGTGACTACATTTGATCAGCAAAGTCCTCCTTATATAGAAATGGCTTGGCCTCGTTTCTGAAACTTGATCGTATTATCAGGGTGACCTAGGTCAACGCAACTTATCCATAGTATCCTTAATAATTTCCAGCTTTGGATCGTGGACTTGGTACATTCCCAGACGCTGATGTTTGGGAATGCACCAAATTGGCGGTCCGGCGCTGAAAATTATCATTGATACTATGAACTCCGGACAAGGTCTCCGTGTAATTATGACCAGGTTGAGCAAACGGAATCAAATAACATATATGCAACGAAAAGAAACCATGACCATAATAAAGACCATAATATCTTGATCTTCAAACCTTCGTTTATCTCTTCGTTCCCTGCCTTTACCAATATTCATATAAAACGGCCGCTACTATCCTACATAATGAAGGCTAAAATATATAGATAAGGATATATTGTTATATAGTCATTTAGTTAGTTATATTTGAGTATGTGTGCATATATTAGCATCCTTTCCGCCTGTTATTTAGACCACGAAATATCGGTTATATCTCAGAGTACCTTTAAAATGGTGAGGGGATCGGTACTCGAATTTTCCCTCATTGCTTTGAGTAGACCTTACTTTTCTATTGAATTTCACATAGCCTTGTCTCCCAAAGGGTATTCTTATTCAGGGTGGACTGTGGTTTAATTCAGCCACTAGTTCCCTTATCACCTTAAGCGAAATAGGGTAAATACACCTAGTATGAATGATCTACTGGTAGTCTTGAAAACCTACCTATAGACGTAAAATAATTATAATATGGACTAACGTAAGACGGGAATCGGCCGTCGTCTTCTGAGATTCATCTAAAAACCTTTTCATCAGGTCTCAGGAAATGCATCGAAGCCTAGTTACAATTAGTGATGTTTGCGCCATTAGTCAAGAGCGCCATATATATATATATATATATGATTTTTATCCCAATAAGCTCGAACATAAAACCCATTGTGGAATCACAAGTGTTCCACCAAAATAAAATTCCCCTAATTTCAGAATGTTTCAAGACTTACTAAAGTCATACTTTATTTGTATACTTAAATCGCCACATGCATATACATATACCAATCGATGCAAATAAGCAAACTATAATATTAATTTTCTGCGCCATCTTCTTTAATCACTTTACCTCTGTGGTTTTACCTTAAACACAGATGCTGAAAGCTTGTTAAACCGTCTGATGGAGCGTGTCAACATCGGCCTAGAGCTCCAATTTGCATGGTTTGCCGCCACTCCTGCCCCTCCACCGTCCATCGGCTACGATGCTTATACTCGGTCTATCCAGACCATGCCATTACCTTATCCCTCAACTACATCGACCACGCTTTCATCATCTACCTTTCTCGTCACTACTGTGGGCAACGTTCCAGGACAGAAGGCTCCTGACTTCTCAATCTTCCACCAGAGCGACTTGCCTGACTTAGCTGATCTTTCACCTAACAGTTTAGCGACCACCTCTCGTTCCGTTGCTTCTACTTTTGCTGATGGGGCAGGGACCAGAGTTTGGCCTCCGGTCAAGTCTTCCGGACCGACACTTCGATCTACCAGCGCGGGGACCCATAGATTCAGACAGGCGCAAATATTAGCCAGCACCGGCCTTCTTGATGTCGTCCTTGATTGTTCAGGTGCCCTCACAACTCGTTTTACGCATCTCGCTAAAGCAACACTCGACTGCTTGGCCGATTTCCTGCTGGGCCCAAGCGCCACTTTAAGCAAGATCAATCGGCATGCCACGCGACTCTCGCATACTTTGCGCTCCCAACTGGTTAGTTTTGCCATATAATAATTATTTTTTGTTAGCAAAGCTTATGTGAGGATTATGCAAACCCAAGAGTCTAAAGGATCCGCTCCATATGTAATACAGTATATTCAGGTTAATTGATACACCTCGGGGCTAAAACAGTTTTGCCTTAATTTAGTGGCTATCTTAATTATGCTAAGTTTTATGTTAAGGGTTAACAGGTCTAAAATAAACTAAAAACTACTGTTTAACGAGCCACAGATTATGCATTCCAATAGTTTACTAAAAATTAGAGAAAATATCTTATGCATGTAGAAATCACACATGTAGTTTCTAGTAGTTAATGATTTTGAAAGAATTTATCGAGTGTAACCTCTTATTTTCGCTTGCTTGACTATAAGGAAATAAAATCTGCGCATATCTCTGGTACAGATAAGGTACTGCCTTAATTTTCTTCTTGCATGAAGTACCATTGTAATCCAGCAGTTAATTTCGCGACATCCTAGTTAGTTATTAGCTCAACCTTAAGCATGCTAACCCCTATTAACCGGAATCCATTGAATAATAAAAATAACGATGACAATGAGAAATGGGGGGGTTGCTTCACTTAGATTATTATCTTGCCTTGTTTTTCATCAATTTCTGACCTTGGTTAGGAATGTGTGTTTCCGTTACGAGTGTATGTAACTATATCTATGTTATTTCGTGTATTAATGTGTAAATAGCCATCTTCTTACACGTCTCATATCGTAGCCACTGTTAATTATCGGTGTGTTGGATGAATCTCTTGGTTAGAATATTTGGCATTAACTTCTTTATAATACTTCTCTAAGAAATACTGTAAAATCGTTTGCATTTTAAATGGATCCTGCCGATACTGGAGATTAGAGTATCGATAAGAAATTAAATAATTTTGTTCTTAGATATAAAGACTAAGATGGTGTGGCCTTCTTCTTGGGTTCAGCATTTGAATTTAAATCTCTCATGAAGCTGTTTTTTCGCAAATGCACCTGGTCACTAGTTAATTGCTGTCGTTGCTTTCAAATTATCTTACTACCATGAAAGTGACCAAGAGAAATCTTGCCGTTCTATATAGACTTAACAAAAATTTAGCTTCTAATGCCGATCAAGGTCATATAATCCTTATTCGCCAATACTTCGATACTACAGGATATATATATATCCTGTAGTTAGTAGCACCTTCTCAAAAGAAGTCAAAGGCACGCAAGTAAAAATTTTGGAGACCAAGATAGTGGGGCCTTTGGTTCGGCTACGTTGTGCTTATATAGGTTTAATGACGTATCCCGCTCTTTATCCTCTGCTTAAGTAATCCTGCTAATTTTCATCTTCAAACCGCTAGTCAGGGACATTTTTATGGGATTAGCTGGCATCATGCTCGGTATTGTCATTAGGTAGCGCCATTTACGACTTTTAGAAGGTTTAAGGAAAGCCAATTAACTACTTTTTTGAACACTGGCATTTCGCTTCTAGTTAGTACAGTACATTTCATATTTCTCATGTCTTTATTCTTTGCCCTCATTCATACTTCAGATGCTCGAGTTTTCCATCTACCAACCTTGTGCCTCTGCTTGTTCCGATAAACTCTAGCTATGCGCCTCTGAGTAATTCTTTCACTCTTATTTAGCTCCATCGTCTGTTTGATCGCTTCTGCGTGGCTTCTTAATCTGGAGTGGTCTTTTTCTACCTGTCTTTCCTGTGCTTGCAAAACTTTGTTTTCACAGACTATCTTAGTAGAGGAGTTTTTCCGACAAGCATATTAGTATTCCTCACGATGCTATTGAATTTCACCCATACATTCCTTAAAAAGGCTTTCAACTTAGCATAGGTGAGATCGAAACTGCATTTAACTCTAGATCAGAAAATCTTCTGTGATAGGGTCAATTTTGATTAAATGTCACTGAGGCCTACTCATATGATTGTGGAAACTTCCACTATCCGCCCTAAATTATCTTAACCGACCAAGTTCTTATTTAATAAGTACTGACAGTTTCGGAGGATAATAATAGCAAATTTACCATATAATTTGGGCAAACTGAGATTCTGCTATTAGTCTATGCTGTACATATTGTATGAGTTTATAGTTCTTTACCTAGACCAACGCATCTCCAATAGACAGCCTAAAAACATATCTGCGACTCGTTTTTTTATTTCTATGTCGACTACTCCCTTAACATTTCGTCGTTTATTCCTTAGTTTGACTGCTATCAATGGACTTGTCATCCATTTATCCATCGGGAGACTCATTTCAATAAATTAACAACAAGCAACTGGGAAACTTTAAATGACTCGAGTGACAGATTACTGACTACCATAGAGAATTCATACGAATTTTCTCAAACTTATGTAAATGAGGTATGAAGACCAGGATGGTCACAATCTCATTTTTATTGTATATAAGTTGTTTGACCTTGTTTTCACGATTTGGTCCTATTGGCAGGAAGACCTAGAGGAACGCACTTTGTCCGGAATCCATAGTATGCATGATAATTTCCATAATCGGACAGTGGACTTGGTACATTCCCAGATCTTTCGCCGACATCGTAGTCGGTATCGTCAATGAGCCTTGCCATTCTTAGCACCACACTACAACTCAAAGAGCCAAGTGAAGTCGATTCTTTGACCAATTGTCTGCTAAACTGTTGTGGTATTTTTCCTTCTGTCATGGGTCATTTACCTATCCTTTATCCTCGTATCACCCCTTCAATATCACAATTTCTTACTTGTTTATATAAACCTATTTGGAATCTATTCACACTCCCCGCTGGTTTCCTCATCCCTTCCACTCTGCCGGGAGTGTTGATCCAAGGCTGCGGTTTAATCCGCAATCATCTCTCTTTGGGTTCTATCAAAGTCCCCTCTTGCTCCGTAGAATCCTTTCATTATCTGCCTGTTTCATTGATTTCACTCCATCGCTGCCATCGTATCCGAGCTACTCAAGTCGTTGTTCTACAATTAGCCTCAAGTCTTTAATAGCACGTATACACCAGCCTTACTGCGCAAGCCGCTAAAGTCTGGATTCTCATTTGGCATGGCAACCTAGCTTGAAGCTGCATATTTCCTTATCGCTGTGCCGCATATGCACCATATGAATCTCGAGGTCAAACCTTTTCTTCATGGACCGCGTCTATGAGCAAACGTATCTACTAATAGCCAACTAGAAATGGCCACTACCGTCTCTTTCGCTCTTCTATGACATTCTAATGCGTGTCAACACCTAAATGTGATGACTGAAAATCATCATGCATACAATGGACTCTACTAGGTGCGTTCCTCTAAGTCTTCCTACCAATATAACCAAATTGCAAAAACAGGGTAAAAAAACTTTTATACAACGAAAAGAGACTGCGACCACACAAAAGGCCAAACTATCTTGCTCTTCATATCTTTGATTAAATTAGGGAAGATTGCCAAGCACTGCACCTATTACAGCCGGAAAAAGAAGTCAATTGTGAGTCAATGCTGGCATTTGGCCTTTTTGAATTGTTGCAAACATTATGGTATCGCTGCTCGATTCTGCCATCTAATGAGGAAGTGTCATTCGGGCACAGTTAATGAAATACTTTATCACTTCCATCCAGAAATTAGAGGAAATA